TAGTGTTGTCGAGAAGTAGAAGAAGAGGGCCTGACCTCTATAGATAGATGTTTCTGGAATTAGTAGGCGCAAAGTAAAGGGCCCTGGGGACTTCTGGTGACTGGTTGGTACAGCAGAGACTTAGGTGGTTTGCCCAGTCCTGTTTGGTCTCTCTGTCCCCCTCTCTCCTGCCTGTCCCTCCCCCTTTTCAAAAGAATTGAGCCACTTTACATAGAAGGAGCCAGTTGGCTAAAACGTCCAACAAGTAACAAGTATTTATAGTTTTCCAAAGTCCCTTCCTGCCATCACTGGTATACTTAGTTATCCATAGTCCTGATCAGTGTTTGGGGTCTTTTTTTTTTTGTTAAGATTTTATTTGTTTTGATGTGGACCATTTTTAAAGTTTTTATTGAATTTGTTAACAATTGTTTCTGTTTTATGTTTTGGTTTTTGCCTGGGAAGCATGTGGGATCTTAGCTTCCTGATTAGGGATTGAGCCCACACCTCTTGTGTTGGAAGGCGAAGTCTCAGCCACTTATTTTAAAGAAAGAAGTTGATGCAGACATTTTCATGCATGGGTACTGCCCATCAACTTGTTGCCGTGGTGCCAGGATTCCATTGTTTGCTGCTACTTGAGTAGCCCTGCCCTGTATTGTTAGGCTGGGTGACTTTTTTCAAAGGTTATAGTATAGCTATTTATCATTTTGGTACAGATTACTTACTGTTAATACTTCTTGAAGTATATTTTCCACAGTGAACTATTTGGGGATCTTTTTGTTTTTGTTGGGTGCAGGATGGGGCAGCTTCTTATGGATTACAAGAGATTGCAGTCTAGAAAGGTTCCATGTTCATGATTTGATCTTTGATTTTCTAGGAGTATAGTGGTTCCTGCAAAGAGAAAGGACTGGAGTGTAGAAGTCAGCCTGACCAAGTTTGACCATGAAGCTTTTCAGAGAATGAAGTGAATTCTGTTTCTGACATACAAGGTGGCTCCTGAATGCTGCCAACCACCGCCCCCCTCCCCCGCCCCGCCCCCCGCCGGCCACTCCCTTGAGGAATAGTGGCCAGGCCTCCAGGCAGCCCTCTTTCTGGAACTCAGCCCGTGTGGGGTGAATATGCTAAGTGAGCCTTCCTGAGAATGTTCTCCTTCCTGCCAGATGGCACTTTCGGCCTGCGTTGTGTGCATGCTTGCTAAGTTGCTTCAGTCGTGTGACCGACTCTTTGCCACTCCATGGACTGTAGCCCTCCAGGCTCCTCTGTCCATGGGGTTCTCCAGGCAAGAATACTGGCATGGGTTGCCCTCCCCTTCTCCGGGGATCTTCCTGACCCAGGGATTGAACCCACATCTCCTGTGGCTCCTGCATTGCAGGTGGATTCTTTACCACTGAGCCACCAGGGAAGCCCTCAGCCTGCGTTTGGGACTCAGTATAATTGCTGCTGGGATGGGAAAACTGGTATCTACCCTTCCTTCAAAGCAAAAGTTTTCAACCCTGTTCTGAGTTTAGAACCTATTGAGGTGGTGGACTGCAGAGTGTGCCTTGCTGTCCACTGGTGCCTACTGTCGGTGGCACGCTTTACAGCATTTCCCGTGTGCCTTCTTTCCTTTGATTTGTTTTCAGCAAGTGTTTATGGAGAGCCTGTTATTTCCGAGGCCCTGGAGCTACAGCAGTGAAGCAGACAGATGTGGCCCTGTCCCCAGGGCTAGAGTCTGGCCTCCTGGGAGTGGGGAGGTGGGAATTCGGGGCTGTTGGGCAGGACCAGTGGAAGAAGGTGGGCGGAGGGTGTGCCTGAGGAGGGACTGGCACAAATAAACTGCTGGCTGCGGAAAAAAATGCCGAGGTGGGCACTGGCGGGAGCCGGCTTTCTCTTCCTCTGTTTTGGAGAGAAGCAGAAGCCTTGTTGCTTGAATGACTACACCTCCCAGAGTGCAGTATCATCAAGTAGACCAGTTAATGGTCAGATTGAGTCACTCACACGATCACTGCGTTCACCATGGTGATCAGGTGCGGGAAGTTTACCTGTTACCACAGTTGGTAACCTAGGCAACCGGATGACAGTTGTTCTGTCTTTGCCTTATTTTTTGCCTAGTTTTTCCTGTAAGCAGCCTGGGGCTGCAGGCCTCAGGTGCCTGGGGTGTCCTCAGCATAGCCACATACCTGCCTAGAGCTTCTGGGGCTTTATTGCACCCTTCTCTCCTCTGTGAAGCCCAGAACTTTCTTCCCAGCACCCTCTCCTCTCTGCAGTCTGAGTGCTGAGCAGTTGGAGAAAAATTGTGGCTCTTAGGGTCCCTAAAGGAGTGGAGCTCAGATGTTCTTTCTTAAAAGTCTGGGGAATTCCCTAGCAGTCCAGTGGTTAGAACTCTGAGCTTTCACCTAGGGCCTCGGTTTGATCCCTGACCAGTCAGAGCTAAGATCCCGAGCTTCGAGGTATGGGCAAAAAATCAGGTCAGTATGAATGACCTGGGGGAAGCTATGTGGAACTTACTTCAGGGTTGGCAAAGTCAACCTTGACCCCTAGGAAAGCAGACACATAGAAGGCAGCCTTTCACCATTTCTGTGGCTAGCATTGTTCATACTGTTTCGCAATCTAGAGGCACTTCATCTCCCCCACCCCAACTCCTGTCTGTTGTTGACAGTCTGCACCACACTGTTCACCAGCATTTTTATAGAGGAGAGTATATCTGATTTGTCAGGAGAAGGTCCCATTTTCTGTATTCTGCTATTTCTTTTTTTTTGTATTCTGCTATTTCTGTTCCCTCTTTTTTCCAGCTTTAGTGAAGTATCATTGACAGTAAAATTGTAATATATTTAAAATGTAGAAAAGTGGTGATTTGGTATATGTATACCTTGTGAAAGGATCCCCACAATTGACTTGACACATCTGTCACCTCACATATTTACCCTTTTAAAGAAGCGAAAACCATTCAAGATCTGTTCTCTTAGCAAATTTCAGTTATGCAGTTCAGTATTACCAACTATAGTCCATATGGTCAAAGCTAGGGTTTTTGCAGTGGTCATATACAGATGTGAGAGTTGGACCATAAAGAAGACTGAGCGCCGAAGAATTGATGCTTTTGAACTGTGCTGCTAGAGAAGACTCTTGAGAGTCCCTTGGACAGCAAGGAGATCAAACCAGTCAATCCTAAAGGAAATCAACACAACATTCATTGGCAGGACTGATGCTTGAAGCTCCAGGACTTTGACCACTTGATGTGAAGAGCTGACTCATTTGAAAAGACCCTGATGCTGGGAGACATTGAAGGCAAAGGCTGGGGGCAGAAGAGGGTGAGATGGTAGATAGCATCACTGACGCAACGAGCATGAATCCGAGCAGACTCTGGGAGATTGTGAAGGACAGAGGAGCCTGGCGTCCTGCATTCCATGGGGTCGCAAAGAGTGGGGCATGACTTAGTGACTGAACAACAATTATCAACTGTAGGCACCATGGTTTTCATTAGATTTTCAGACCTTATTCACAATATAACTGCAAATTTGTACCATTTTACCAGCCGTTTCCATTGCCTCCACTCCCAGGCAATCCCCATTCCATTGTGTTCTCTGAATCGAACCTTTTTTTAAAAAGCTTGCACATAGAAATAGTATTATGCCTTGTCTGGCTTATTTTACTCTCTGCTATTTTCTAAGAGTTCCTGGAACAAGTGCACACCATCATATCTAATATTTACTGAGTGCTTACCACGTGGCAGGCACTGTGCTTCTGTGTTCTTACTTAATCCTTCCTATCATTAATTCCATTGTATAAATGCTAAATCTAAAGTTGAGAGAAGTTTCAGAAAGACTGCTGAGTAAAACCAGGCCTTGTAATATCTCCAAAGATAACAAAGGAGATGTTATCTAGAGAAAACTCAGAAAGGAAATGTAGTAACATACTAATGGTGGTTATCTGTGGGCTGAGATAGAAGTGGTTTTTTATCCTTTCAGGGACCATTTCTTATACTTCTTTGTCCCCCTAGACACCTGTTTCTGGGCAGAGCTCAGTAACGCTCAGTAAGAAGACACTGGTAGAGGTAGACAGTTCAGGTCTCTTCTTTCTTTGGCCCCAGTGATAGTAGCTCTGGTCCTATGTTACCGCTGGTTGTTGGGCAGCTGTGCTGCTGTTCCCAGTAGGGCTGGAAAGGCCCCAGATGGGCTCGCCCCGTCGCCCCGTCAGGTGGCAGGTGAACCTGTCGTCTTCCAGGAGCCGATCTCCCGGGCTGACGAAGGCAGCGGTAGTGGGCATCGACTGGCCGACGTGTGTCACTTCCTCTAGCTTGGCAGTCTGGAGTGGGCTGGAGGCAGTCTGCCTGCGTGGTGACTCACCACTGCTGGTGCAGCTTGTCAGAGGCTTTTGGAGCTGCCCTGAGGGGGTGCTCTGCACAAGGGCGCCCGCCTCTAGCTGGAACCAGCAGGCTGGCTGGTTCCGATCGCTTGCTGCCACACCGAGAGCTGCTCCACCGCTGCTTTTTTTACTTAAGTCATATTCCTTTGTTAGTTTGTTTTAGGTAACTTTTAATTTTGATATAATCTCAAAAATACAGAAAAGTTGTAAGAATAGTACGTAGAACCCTTGTGCACGTGTCATCCAGGTTCACCGTCAGCACTGACTCAAGGGCTTCACTTGTATGTCCCCCCGCCACCGCCGCAGTGAATGTGCCTGTACACACACAGACACGCACACACACTGTCTCTGAACCATTTCACAATAAGTTGCAGGTAATATGCCCCATTACTTGTGACTACTTGAGTGTGTTTCCTAAAACAAGGACATTCTAGTAAATAGCCACAGTGCAGTTATTAAAATCAGTAAGTTCAGCATCAATACAATGCTGTTGCCACTGTCCATATTCACATTTTGTCCAGTGCAGATCCAGTCCCCGTGAACGGCAGAGCTTTATTTGTATGAGAACGTCCCTGAGGCCTGTGGCGCCTCCTGGTGGTGGTGCTCAGGGGCGAGCAGAACTGGCAGGCGCCTGGGGGGTGACTGCCACGGGCACCACATCCCCTGCTCCTGTCTCCCCGCAGGACCAGAGGCGTGAGAGCAGCAGCCATGTCAGCGGAACTGGAGACCTCAGAGGGGCTGGATGAGCCGGAGAAAAAGATCTCTGGGGCCCCAGAGAAGGACAACCACAGCAGGTGAGCGGTGGCGGCCGTGGTGCAGTCAGGCCGTGCTGCCGGGGCCCGGCCCGCCGCCTCCTCACCCTTGCCCCAGGCAGGGAGGCAGGACAGGCACTGCTCTCAGTGCCAAGTGGTGGGATTTGATGGTGCTCCTGGTCGTTTCTTCTTCCTGGAATTCTGAGCGTTCTGTCATCTGGGGTGAGAGAGGGTAATCAGAAGCAAAGCTGGCACCTTTCCAGTGTCTCCCACCCCTCAGATGTGGGAGCACCTAACTCCAGGGCTTTCCTTACTGGGTTGAGGGCAGTTCACTCAAAGCCTCCAGTCACCCAGGCCTGTTCTTCATTGTTCTCAGCCTCTCCTTATAGCCCTGTCATTGGCAAAGTTCTCTTTTTACATCTTGGAATAACTGTTGAAAATAAACTATTGGCAGCACATGAGTGATATGAGCCAGTCTCCTAAGGAGGCCAGCAGAGACTGGGCCATGGGAGGCCAAGCTTTTCTCACTCGCGTCGACAGTTGTGTGGATGCACAAAGGTCCCTGCCCAGCACCTTCTCTCCTTGTCTGGCGCTCGTACCTGTCACGTGATTTTGTTCAGCAGCACAGGCCTCGGTCCTGGCTCTGGCCTCCCCAGCCTTGCTCTAACTGCCATCCTCCTCTGCCGGGTCCCAGCCTCATGTCGTCCTCAGGGGCTCTGGGTTTAAGGTGGGAGGAAGGCAGCTGGGCCAGCCCAGGAGCTGCATGGCCGGTTCTTCTCCAGGGTGTGGATCCTGGGAGACACGTTCCCCAAAGTCGTCTGTTCCCTGAAGTCAGCAAACACTGCGGTAGGGTCAGAGGTGTGTGTTTCTTCAGGTGGGCACAGAAGCCAAGCGTCACTCACTTGGGTGGTTCAGAGAGACCCGGACACAGTGGAGGAGCGGGTCAGGGTTATCCAGAGTGTCGCCCGAGTCCGGGAACAGACCCACATCCGCCTGTGCTCTGCTCCCTGCTGAGAGGCTGGAATCACGTTTTTGAGCAGCCTCTGCCTCGAGCTCAGTGAGTGGTCAGCCTGGAGTTGGAAGGCTAACTCACACATGCTCTCTCCATAGGATGGCAGACCTTTCTGAGCTCCTGAAGGAAGGCACCAAGGAATCACATGACCGGGCGGAAAACACCCAGTTTGTCAAGGACTTCTTGAAAGGCAACATCAGGAAGGAGCTGTTTAAGGTTTGTGCCCTTGATCATGAACTGCGTTGGGTTGGGGGCCCTTAGTCCCACAGGGTTGACACCCCCCAGCCTTCCTCCACGCCCCATGGTTTTCTCAGCATCAGGCTGTGGTTTAATGTCTTAAAAGGAATAAGGTAGTGATGTAAAGGAAGTGATCTGTGTTCCAAAGAATTCACCCTGTCATTCCTTTAAGAAACAAACACTTCCTGCGCACGTGAAATAACTCACTGTATGAAATTGGGGAATGGAGGGGGTGCTCAGGAGTGTGGGCAGTGGGCTTGGGAGTTGCTGGCCCAGGCCCTGGCCCCCTCCCACGGTCTCCCCATCGCCCTTGGCAGCTGGCCACCACCGCGCTGTACTTCACATACTCGGCCTTGGAGGAGGAGATCGACCGGAACAAGGACCACCCAGCCTTTGCCCCCTTGTACTTCCCCATGGAGCTACACCGGAAGAAGGCGCTGATCAGGGACATGGAGTATCTCTATGGCGAGCACTGGGAGGAGCAGGCAAAGTGCTCCGAGGCCACCCGGAAGTATGTGGAGCGGATCCACGAGGTGGGACAGAATGAACCAGAGCTGCTGGTGGCCCACGCCTACACCCGCTACATGGGGGACCTCTCGGGGGGCCAGGTGCTGAAGAAGGTGGCCCAGCGGGCCCTGAAACTCCCCAGCACAGGGGAAGGGACCCAGTTCTACCTGTTTGAGAATGTGGACAACGCACAGCAGTTCAAGCAGTTGTACCGGGCCAGGATGAATGCCCTTGACCTGAACCTGGAGACCAAAGAGAAGATCGTGGAGGAGGCCAACAAGGCCTTCGAGTTCAACATGCAGGTACTGCCAGGGCCAGGTGGGAAGGGCCTCTGCCGGCAGGGCCGTCCCAAAGCCACTTGAAGGGGCATCAGTTCCCTCAGACAGATAGGCTGCCCGAGAGCAAGTCTAGTGACTAGACAGGCCAGCGGGCACGACCCCACTCAGGATTCCACCCTGTTTGATCAATAGCCTGTGTGTGGTGCTTTGGGAAGGCGACACCCCGGCACGTTGAAGGGTCGGGAAGGTGGGAGTTATCTCCGTCCTTTTCACCCCAGGCTTCTGGTCTGAAGGAACGTGGAGTTCCCCCTTTTTAGCAAGGGTTGCTGTGAAAAGTCCTGCTTGGTAAGTTCGGGGAGAGAACCAAAGAGAGAATGATTCAGTTTACAAGTAGCTATTAGGCCCGAGTCTGGCAGGCTGGTTCTGTCGAGCCCAGGCCCTGTCCTCCACTCCAGGGAAGTGCTGGCCTGAGGGCCCCTGAGGACCAGTCAGCCCTGCCAGGGCTGCCTCCTCCCACGTCCCTCGTTTTCTCCTGTTTCTTGCTAGAAATACCCAGCACCCGCAAACAGGGATGTGCTGGGGGCCCCACGGGGTGGGGGGCAGTGCTTTCTGCTTTGTCCTATCCACCCCCTGGGGGTGTGCGCCAGGGCTCTCAGCCTGGGCAGCACAGGTGCAGCCACACGTCCCAGAGCTCCCCCTCGGGGAGGTGTCTGCCCTGTGCACTCCTGCCCCTGCCTGCTCGGCCCCTCTGGGGACACACGCCATTGACGGCTGTTGATCCTCTGCACCTGCAGGTATTCAATGAACTGGACCAGGCTGGCTCCTTGCTGGCCAAAGAGACCCTGGAGGACGGGCTCCCTGCGCACGATGGGCTTCCCACGCACAGCAGACTTCCCACGCAGGACGGGCTTCCTGTGCACGACGGGAAAGGAGACGTGCGGAAGTGCCCCTACTACGCTGCTCAGCTGGACAAAGGTAGGCCTCGAGTGTCCTGCGCACCCAGGGTGGGTATGTCGGCCCCCACTCACGGCGTGTCCCCTCGGTGCTGCCGCGCAGGTGCCCTGGAAGGCAGCAGCTGCCCCTTCGCAGCAGCCCTGGCCATGCTGCGAAGGCCCAGCCTCCAGTTCCTGCTGGCCGCCAGCGTGGCCCTGGCCGCTGGCCTCCTGGCCTGGTACTCCATGTGAAGGACCCACCGTTCCACACTGCGCTGCCTCCCGTCCACCGGCCCGCCCCACCTCCACCCACGACCAAACTACCACCTCAGGTGACTTTTCTAATGCTGGGCTTGAGAAAACAAGCAGCCAATAAAAGTCAGAGACTAAAACCTTTGCCTGTCAGCATCCTGCCTGCGGGCCAAACGCTAAACTGGGTGCAGGCCCACCCCCGAGCCCCCGGCCCCAGCAGCAGGAGCAGTCCGCAGGCTGGCCTAGGCCTCTGGGACCAGCGCTGCTGCTGGGGCCCCCGCACCTCTGACCCAAGGCTCGCTCGCTCCCCCCTTCCTTGTTGCGTCCACACTTAGCTGGGTGTCTTTCCCGTGCTGAGAGTGGATTGCCAGCAAGTTCAGGCCCCAGCGCTGTGGGCGGGTGGGGGCCTCCCCAGATGGCGCTGCTCTTTCTCTGGACTTCTCCTGGGGCGGGAGCCAGAAGCCGGGCTTTCGCCTCGCCTCAGAAGTCCTGGAGCTCCGTCCTGGGCAGCCAGTCCTCACGCCTCTCAAGCAGACACCCAAATCGGGGTCAGTTTGGCCGTGGCCCGTCTCCTCTGACCTGTGAAAACGCTTCTGCACTCAATAAAGTGGATTCTGCTCGCCTCCCTCCTCTTCAGTGTGACATTGTCCTTGTCGGTGCCTGGCAGCCCCTCGCGCTCCCAACACTGCCCGGTCCCTGCCCAGCACCCTCCTTCCAGGGAGTCAGGGAGCCACCTCTCAGGGACGTGGACGTCCCTGTGGTCCCTTCGTTTTCTAGTTCTCAGAGTGCTTTAGTTTTCCTGCCTTTTTTTTTAAATACCTAAAAGAGCATATACTTGCATTTTGTAATAATACATTGTCTAAAATAGAAATGAACTTAAGTATTTATTTTAATAGGAGTTTATTACCTATTCTATATATTGAGAATCTGTGAAAGTTACTTAAAAAAAGAATTAAATTGTTGGAACACTTTTCAGTAACTGACCAAGCCCACCCGCCTTCACAAGTCAGATGAGGGGTGGGGGCCCAGCTGCCTGCCCGCCCCAGCAGCCCGCAGACCCGATGCCTCAGCCCCGGTGGCTCTGCCCTGCTCAAGGGAGCGAGGGTACCTCCCCACAGGGCTGATGACCCCAAGCTCTGGCTGGGGGGTGTCTCCAGGTTGCAGACCCCATGGGCAGGTGCATGCTGTGGAGACAGGTGACATTATCAGTAAGGAAGCCTGATAGCGCAGTCACAACTGGGCTCCGGTGGGTTTAACCAGGGACTGAGACACCATCATCGTCCCTGGGTAGTGGGTTCAGCAGAAGCACTGAGACCCTGAGGTCTTGACCCCCTGCCTTCCAACTACCTGCAGGCCCCCCACCCTCTTTCCCTCACAAAAGAAGGAAGCCAGGCAAGAGAGCAGAGGCCTTGGGCAAGGGAGTGAAAGGGCCAATTTAATGAGGAACTATCAACTGAGACTGGCCACGGTTCACAGTGACAGGAGGCCATGCAGTGGCCGTGCAAGACCAGGAGGGGGCGGCAGGATACAGCGGTCCACAGGAGCAAGTTCACAGACAAACCCTTCAGGAAACAGTGTGTGCTCAGGCCCAGGGCAGGGCTGGTGGCCACCGGGGCACCTCTGCCACTTGTGGCTGCTCCTTCTTTGTCCCTAGCCTGTCCCCAGTCCCGCGCCACGGCTGCTCCTGCTGCAGCGCCTGCGGTTGGAGCGAGAGCAGTGATGGCGAACCAGCCGGGCTGCAGGGCCCTGTGGGCACTGGGAGGACCCGTGGAGCGTGCACTGCAGAACCCAGAGTGCCCGCAGGAAAGCCCCGCTCTGTCGTCTCTGGTCCCACCTGGCACCAGGCAGAGGCTGTGCCCACATGTGGCAAGGACACGGTATAGCCAGATGGCTGGGCTCCTGGGCATTCCTTCCAGCCCCAGCAAAGGCCGGGCTTCACAACGGTGTGGCTGAAAAGCAGCTGGGCAGGGGCTAAGGAGAATCCCTACTTGGCAAGCTAGGGTCCAGTCCCTCACCCCATGGCCTGCAGGTGTGCTGACCTCTATTTACCCCAGGTGATTCCTGGGCACAGTTAAGAATTCCTGAGTTCTGAGGGCCAGAGTCATTCCTTCTGACCATCATGCCTGCCTCTAGCACCCACAAACTCAGGCCTGCCTGGGTCCATCTGCTACTCTCAGCCCAGCAGATCGGAAACAGCAGTGGCTATGGGCTCAGCCCCACTGCAGGCCCTGGTCTGGGGAACCAGCCGCGGCTCTGGCTGCTTTTGGTCCCAGGGAGACTCTGGACCGAACCTGTACCTGGTACAGAAATGGAGGAAGAGACCCCAGCAGGGAGGACCATGTGAGGAGACCACTCCCTCTTGTCTTCTTGATCACAAATACCTAGCAAGCCAGCAGCACACAAGCTCACTGCCAGCCCCCACCACTCGCTGACCCTTGGCCTGAAATCCAACAGAATTTTTGCCACAAGAGTCAGATGCTCAGGGAAGGGCAAGGCGAAGAGGACAAGACTTCCAGGGGAGGACCAGTGGAACGGCTTCCACCCCCAAGTGGGAGCAGGGAGGTGAGCCACTGAGTGCGGGGGGCGAAGCACGGGGGCCAGATGGACAGCGGGGAGTCCAGGCCCAGCCCATCAGCACAGGCGCTTGTACGTGTAGATGTAGGCCTTGCAGCTAGGGCACGTGTGTGTCACATCCTTGAAGTCATTGATGAGGCAGGGGATCAGGCAGCAGCCCAGGTCACACCTGCATCAGGAGAGATGAGGGCCTGAAGAGCAGGGGCTGAGAGCCCGGCCCCCTCCAGGGCAGCAGAGGTGGGTGCGGCCCCACCCCGCGGGTGCCTGCACCACCTACCCCATGAAGCAGCAGAAGAAGCCCAGCACGAAGTTCATCAGGCCGATCTCGTAGGAGATCTTGGTGGTGATGGCCTGCTGGCAGTGGGGACACACCGTCTGCACAGGCGCGCCCTCGAAGATCTCTCCCTGCAGCACTGTCACGGTGGTGGCAGCCCCTGAGGGGACCAGGACCGTGGCCGTGTGGCCCCCAGGGCCAGCATAGGGCCCAGGTGGGTAGGGCCCCGGTGGGTAGTAGCCCATGGGTGGATGGGGACCCGGAGGAGGATAGAAACCTGGCAACAGAAGACGGAGCAAAGGCGGGTCACTGGTGAGCCAGGCCGCTGGCCCCACAGGAAAGGTGAGCACAAAGCCCCGAGCCTCCAGCACCCAAGGACATGGGCTTGGGGACCAGGCCCTGGGCCCGAGTGACCACCGTCCTCCCAGCCTTTCCTGGTCTCTGTCCCAGAGGACAAGAAGCTCCCTGTACCGTGCTCTTGGGCACCTTCCGTGTCTCTGCCCTTAGTTAAACACCCTCACAGCCCGCCGGCCGGCAGCACAACCTACCCAGGTTCCTTTCCGTCTTACCTGGAGGCATGTAGGTGCCGTCCGCGTTCATGTGTGGAGGGATGAAGCCGGGCTGGGGTGTCGGGTGACCGGGCGGCTCGTAGGGAGGGGGGCCGATGTCTGCAGGGGGCAGCGACATGCCCGGCGGGGGCTGCATCACAGCTGGAGAGGTGCGGCCTGGACAGGGGGAGGGGGGGGAGCGCAGAGGCTTAGTTGTTGGAGGGGCGCTGCTCCAGGTGCAGCTCCCAGCAGCTGGCAAGGGCATGGGACCCTACCTGGCGTGGGCGGAGCGCCACTTTTCTCCTCCAGAAGGGGGGCTGTGGGGCCCCCAGGATAAGGAGGGGGAGGATCATTCGACATCTTCGCTGCTTCTCCTGGGCCTAGAGGAGAAACCAGGGTGCAGGCTGGGCTCCAAGCTACCCCCTCCCCCCGGACACAGGGCCTTCCGTGGCTCCTCCTGCAGGCGTCCCTTGCTCTTGGCCTCAGGTCACCTTCATTTGTCTCCCCACACAGATCTCATCGCTTGGCATGGGCTGGGGCCAATCCTTCGGCCGCACAGACTCAGCTGCCCCCAGGCCCTGGAGATGCCCCACCACAGCCCAAAGCCACCATCCTGCAACAAACACCAGCCTCAGGGGTCACCCACACTTCTGTGTGGGAGCGAGGGCAGGGGGGTGGCCTGGTGAAGGGGGCAGAACCCAGCAGCTTGGGAACCTCATCTAGGGTGTCTCAAGGGGAGGCCGCCTGGGTCCTCGCCACCCCTCCCCTGAGGGAGCACCAGGCTGACCTCCACGCCAGGGCCTGCCTGTGGGGGGCTGGGCGACACAGTACCTCTGATCCCAGGTACTCAGAGGAGACAGGCAACTGAGGCTTCTTCCACCGCCGGCCTGGGCGAACACGCAGGGCTCTGGGAGCTGTTTTGGGGGGAGACCCACAAGCAGTGCCCTCAGCACCGGGGCAGAGCTGGCCCTGGGCACCTGGCCCGATGCAGCCACACTGCCCTGGCACCGCTGCCCAACTCGGTGCCATCCTGTGTCCCTACCCATGCCCAAGCTCCCCCTCCCCTCTCCATAGCTGCTGTCCCCCCAGGACCACAGCCAGTCCTCCATCCTCTCCCCACCAGCCCGGAGCAGCCCCCGCAAGTCCACATGCCCTGCAGGAAGCAGTGAAAACCGAGGGCATCTCCCCACAGCAGTGGCGCAGTGGTGTGGTCAGGGAGTGGATGGTGAGAAGGAAGGAGGCGCTGTGGGTCTGGGGACCTACTCTCCCTCCTTTCCTTCGCAAAGTTCACTAAAAGCACCTGCTGCTGGAGAAACAGGCCACCTTCCTGCCCTGGGTCTGCATTGTCTCCTTTAGTAAGACACTTCCTTCAACTCTCTTCAACAGCATGAAAGCCCCTAAATTAGTAGCATTTTAAAGTGAGACTTATTTTTTTTTTAACTGAAATAATGTGAACTAGGAAAAAGAGCTACAGGAATAGGGGGTCCCCAATATTATCACCCTGCTTATTTAACTTATACACAGAGTACGTCATGAGAAATGCTGGGCTGGAAGAAGCACAAGCTGGAATCAAGATTGCCGGGAGAAATATCAATAACCTCAAATAAGCAGATGACACCACACTTATGGCAGAAAGTGAAGAGGAACTAAAAAGCCTCTTGATGAAAGTGAAGGAGAGTGAAAAAGTTGGTTTAAAGCTCAACATTCAGAAAACTAAGATCATGGCATCTGGTCCCATCACTTCATGGCAAACAGATGGGGAAACAGTGGCTGACTATTTTTTGGAGCTCCAAAATCACTGCAGATGGTGATTGCAGCCATGAAATTAAAAGATGCTTACTCCTTGGAAGGAAAGTTATGACCAACCTAGGCAGCATATTTAAAACCAGAGACATTACTTTGCAAACAAAGGTCCATCTAGTCAAGGCTATGGTTTTTCCAGTGGTCATGTATGGATGTGAGAGTTGGACTGTGAAGAAAGCTGAGCGCCAAAGAATTGATGCTTTTGAACTGTGGTGTTGGAGAAGACTCTTGAGAGTCCCTTGGACTGCAAGGAGATCCAATGAGTCCATCCTAAAGGAGATCAGTCCTGGGTGTTCATTGGAAGGACTGATGTTGAAGCTGAAATTCCAATACTTTGGCCACCTCATGCAAAGAGTTGACTCATTGGAAAAGACCCTGATGCTGGGAAGGATTGGGGGCAGGAGGAGAATGGGGACAACAGAAGATGAGATGGCTGGATGGCATCACCGACTCAATGGACATGGGTTTGGGTAGACTCCAGGAGTTGGTGATGGACAGGGAGCTCTGTCATGCTGCAATTCATGGGGTCACAAAGAGTCGGACACGACTGAGCAACTGAACTGAGCAATCCTGCTGAGGGAGAGGGAGCCTGGAGTCAGTCAGTTTAAATATTAAATGTAACAAACCAGTGGCAGGGCCAGAAGGACTGAGTCCAAGCAACAAAAGTGAAAAAAGATAAAATCAATTTCATCAAAATGTAAGACTTGTGCTTCTAAGGACACCATCAAGAAAGTGGGAAGACAGCCCACACAATGTAGGAGAATTCTTTCAAATCAAGTATCTTAGGGACCTGCACCATTTAGAATACATAAAGAACTTTTCTAACTCATTAACAGAAAAGATGACTCAGTTTTTTAAAATGGGCAAAAGGATGGGAACAGACATTTCTCCAAAGATAAACAAATGCTCAATAAGCACATGAAAAGAACCCGAACACTGTGAGCCAAAAGGCAAATCAAAACTACAAGGTACCGCTTCCTACCTACTGGGATGGCTAAGATGAAAAAGACAATAATGAGTATCATGTAGAGAAACTGGAACCTCTCCCCCACCCCACTGCTGGTGTAGCTATTCTGGAAGACAGTCTGGCAGTTCTTCGAGAGTTACCCAGCAATTCCACTCCTAGGTATATACCCCAAAGAACTGAAAACTCATGTCCACACAAAAACCTGTGCAAGAATGTTCAGAGCAGAATTACTAATAATAGCCAAAATGTGTAAACAACTCAAGTGTCCATCAACGGATGTTGTAAAACTGGAATGATGGTTGCATGATTCTGTGACTATACTAAAAACCACTGAATTGCACACTTTAAAATTTTTCAGCTGAGGCATGATCTTAATTCTCTGACCAGGGGTTGAACCTATTCCCCCTTGCACTTGGAGCACAGAGTTTTAACACTGGATTGCCAGGGAAGTCCCTGAGTTGCACACTTTAAATGGGGAAATCATATGGTATTCAGATTATTGTACGTCAATAAAACTTATTAAAGCTGAAGGAAAACACAATTGCCCAACCTTATCACCCTAATGCAGCCAGTCTCTGCCTGTCCCTGCCAGTCTGCACAGGCAGCCAGGTTTTTATATAGCTGCTGTTGTGACAAAGTTAAATCCTTTTAACACTGTGTCACGTATATTTCCTCTATCCTGTAAGACTCCATGTTCATAGATTTTAGTATTTCCAAAAAGGGGCCCATCCTTGTTTACTTGACCAATCCCTATTAAATCATTTAGAAGGTTCCTTGTTTCTGTCATAAAAACACAGCAACACCTTTGACTAGTGCTCTTTCCCTTTCTTGGATTATTTCTTCGGCCTAAACACGCCAGAAGTGAGATTATTAGGTCAAAAAATACAGATATTTCATACCTTCTGGTGAAGGGTGATGCTGACTTACAGTGCACACTTTGAATACTGTTAATCACTGATCTGTAATGTTAAGATGACACTTGGTTTCGTTTGTCTCCTGCATCAGTAAGAAGGAAGATATGGCCCCCAGCGTCACCAACACTGAACCTGGGGCAGGCACTGCTTCCCCCCAGGCCCTGCCGCTCCTGTCTCCTCTCCCCTCCACACCCACCCTGCAGCTGCCTTTCTAAGCCACGGCAGAGCCTGGGGGGCAGGCCCCTCTGCACCTATGACCAACACAACCTAGCACAGAATATTTCAGTCACCCTAAAGTGAGATTCCCCAGTGGCTCAGCGGGTAAAAAATTCGCCTGTTAAAAAAAAAAAAAGAATCCGCCTGTGATGCAGGAAACGCTGGGGACACAGGTTCGACCTGTGAGTCAAGCAGATCCCCTGGAGAAGGATATGGTAACCCGCTCCAGTATTCTTGTCTGGGAAATCCCATGGACAGAGGAGCTTGGTGGGCTACAATGCATGGGGTCCAAAAGAGTCAGACACATCTGAGCGCACGCACACACAAAGTGGGATGAAGCCCATCTGCATGTCTTTCTGTCTTTGGACCCATTTCCTGCTGCAGTCTCATCTCGTCTTCCCCAGAACAGCAGGTGCTGGGGGCCTCTGGGGTGGGACACAGGGCCAGGCACTTTCTGCAGAGCCCAGTCTCCCCACGCCCCTGCGTGGAGTTAAAAGCACAAGACTTCTGGCCCCGGGAAGCAGCCCTGGCGTCCTGCTCTGCTCCCAGCTCCTCCTCATTCACTGCAGTGCGAGCGGCTGTTGAGCCAGGGCCAGGGCCTGGGCAACTGGCAGCAGCGAGAGGCAGCCTGGGGTCTCCCCAAGGAAGCCGGGAGGGTCTGGGCCCGGGCCAGCAGGATGCTCTCCTGCCTGGCTCCATCCCCTGCTGGAAACTCCATTCTGTAGTCTGAGCCGACAGGATGTGCACCCTGAGCGGGGAGGGTGCCAACCCTGCCTCCGGGGTCCCCACCCCACACAGGACCTGCTGAGGGAATGCCAACACCGTCTTCTGGAGGAAGGCAGGGAGAGCAGCGTGGGGCTGAGCTCCGTCTGCGCACACACGCAGGTTCCTGGAGGATGAGGAAGGGCATGGGGCTGAGACAGAGACAAGGGGGAGCACGGCGGCCAGACGGAGGACGTTCTGACATCAGCTCCACCAGGGTCGGCTACAACAGCCGTTCTCAAGTTTTTTGGTCTCAGGACCCCTTAACCCTCAATTATTAAGGACACCAAAAAGATTTTGTGGATTATACCTAACAATACTTACCTTATTAGAAACCAAAAATGAGGAACTGTTAAAAAAAGTATTTGTTCATTAAAGAGATTAACTCATTACATGTTAACAAAAATTTAAAAGAACTACTTTCCAAAACAAGATTTAATAAGAAGACTGGCATTGTTTTACATTTCCGCAAACCCTTTACAAGTCTGGCTTAACATCATTAGAAAGTCTACAAATAACAAATACTGGAGAGGATGCAAAGAAAAGGGAACCTTCCTACACTGCTGGTGGGAATGTAAATTGGAGCAACCACTATGGAACAGTATGTAGGGTCCTCAAAAAGTGAAAAATAAAGTTGCTAAATGAAAGAAAAAAAAGAAAAATAAAGTTGCTAAATGATCTAGCAATCCCACTCCTAG